AGATCTCTGTTGCTGATCTTTTCTGGCCGGCCATCTGATCTTGAGTATTGAGCGAAGACAACTGTTAATGAAGGTCTGTAGTTTGTTTGAGGTGCTCTTTATGACACGCCAAGTCTCTGATCCGTATAGTAGCACTGACTGACTTCACATTGGAATTGAAAATACGCACCTTATTTTTGATTCTGAGTGCTGCTGACCTCCACACAGACTTGAGAGTAATGAAAGCTTGTCTTGCTTTTCCGATTCTTGCTTTGATATCCTCGTCAGTTCCGCCTGTAGTTGAAACGATGCTTCCTAGGTAGGTAAAGGAGGTAGTTTCTTTCAGGTTCCTTCCATTTATGCTGATTGTTGTCTGTTGTTGTTGTTGCTGTTGGTGGTGTTGCCCAGGAATCACAACGTTAGGACACAATAGTAAACGTGAAGAAGTACTAGGATATACATGCACGCTAGTTTGGTCAAATAGAACAACACAACAACGTCAGCGAAATAGTAACACAGTGCCTGAAGAATGTAGTTAAAAGACCATTCGATTCAAAAGTGGTATGTTGCCTTCTCCCAGCCACTCCGATTTAACGTTAGAAAAATAAGGGCGAACCAGCTAATTTCTCTTCCTCCATCTGTATCTACCAGTTTGACAACCCCTGTGGAGCCAGTTATATTGTGCGTACAATTAAGCAGGTTCATCGTCGGATTTTCAAACGTCATTCTGCATGGTCAAGCAAAGGGTTGACAAGATCTATTTGTAGCTCTGTTTTAGCACACCTTGTAAACAGTGAGAGTAAAGTTGATGTTAACAAAGCATTTAAAGTTATTTATTACATTCCGATTAATATAAATTTTCGATGTAGTTGTGTTCTCTGAGCTGGATGGTTCACTTGCGAAGCTTTCATTGCCTTACTAGGCAACATCTTCAGCGCATACTTCAATCTGGAGTTAGCTCAGAGAACACATCTACATCGAAATCATCCAGCTGAGCTACAAATCTTCTCCCATTATATCTAAATATTAATTTTGCTTTACGGGCTATTCGTCTTCTACATACAGCTGAAGCCACTGGAATCTACTTGAAGAAGCCAAACCGGTGTGTTCAGAAGAATTTTGTGCAGCCGCTTTCCTTACATTGGCCATTGTTAAATGAATATAAAAACCTGACAATTTTGCCCTCTTCCTATACCTTCTTACTACTTCATCTTTAATTGCCTATTATGTAGTCAACTTGAATGGTCATCTATTCCTTATTTTTTCCAAAATTATACATTATGCAATCCATTTGTTGTAATCATTTCTACCCTTTAGTTGTTTGTATTGATTTCCTTGGTTAATTATGACTTCCGTGACATGTCAATATTCACTAACTATTGTTAACAAACTTATCGCCATTAGAATGATAAGACTTTCTGTATAGCATTAAAAATGCTATATATATATATATATATATATATTACAGTAGAGCCAGAGAGAGTTGAGGATCTGACTGAAAAGTACATTTTTCTTCTCCCAATCTTTTTGTCTCCTAAAACTCTGGCTGTCTAATCAATTTTTTAGTATTTCTGAACGAATCTAACAAATATTTCTTGCCGTCTAAACACCATTTGCTCGAATAGTCTTTTTACTACGCTTTATTACTGTTAAACAGGATTTCTCACTGAACCTCATTGCTTAAGTTTAATCGCCACTCAATTTGAAGTTTTTCGCTACAATTTGTCTCTGTTTGATCATCAATAAGTCTCACACACAGTCATTCGAAAGAATAGGAGATGTTTTCTTGGCCAAGTTAGATGAATAACGACTCATGAGTTCGAACGCACCAGTGACCTTGAACGCATACCATTCGTTGTATAATGGGACCTATCATTGTTATAATGTCACTGTGATCTCTGTGCACCAACTGAGATGAAAATTTCATCCTGATCTAGTCTTCAAGTAGTGTTTGGATAATGTGTTGAAAGCTTGTTAGGGTGATGGTTAGGGTTAAGTTTAAGGTTAAGATTCGGGTTAGGGTTAGGTGTTGGGATTATTGTTACGGTGTTTGGTTTATATTATCCGTTTGGATAGTGTTATTAGAAGACGGAGATTATCTGAAAAATGTGGTGTATTTACTCAATACATTTCGAACAACCTGATACACATTTATATCCGCTTTCAACAAGAGTATCCAGTCAGTATTTTATTTTCATTCTGTATAACATTAGCTGTGCAAATACGCTGAATCCTCTTGAATAAGTATTACACCAAGTCCCTTTTATACTGTGGTGGATAGAAGCTGTGGAAGAAGGCTTTTTATACATTGATAGCTTCAGCGAAACATCTTCTCTACTACTCAGAATTATGTCTAATAATGCAAGTTGCTTGTGACTTTCTTCTTTGCGTGTATGACTTATATGATTTTGTACGGAGTTGAGCCTGTCCAGTGGACGATTCGCATCTGCATGATTATCGCATGTCAAAATAATGTCATCTACATATCTCCTACAAAATGGCACTTTAGCAATTAAGTCAAGGGACAAGTTTTCAATATAAACATTCTCTAATAAAGGCCCTAATGGACTCCCCATGGCAACACTACCCACCTGTCGAAAGTGCTCACCTTCAAACGTTAAATGGACGTTGTGAGTACATAACAGTGATAAATCTTTCAAGTAAGTTAGAGGAAAAAAGAATAAAAAAAACTGGAAGATATATAGTCACAAAGAATATCAGCGGTCTTAATCAATGGTACATTAGCAAATGAGGAATTAACATCAAAAGAATACATTTTCATATCTAATATGTACATATATATATATATATATCTGCAGGACGGTCACCAAGTCCGAATGTATCTTTCATAGGGAACTTATATAATTCGTTGCGTACTTGGCTTAAAATGTCAGCTAACCATTTTACCAATTTATGTGCATAAGAGTGACACATTGGTAGAATTGAACGTGATGAAGTGTCAACCTTATGAATTTTGGGTGATCCATAAAAGTTTGAAATTCAAATCCCATGGGTTTCAAGGAATTAAGCTTATGTTTGTCGATAAAATCCATAACACGAAGTTTTACTAAATGGGATGTTACTTTCCCTTCCAATTTTCTGATGTCATCAGAAGGGACATCGTCTATGAATTTGATTTTATCATTAAGAATGGATAGTATTTTCGTTTTATAATTACATTTCTCCATTACGACTAAATCAGATCCTTTGTTAGCT